CCGTGGCTGCTCTACCTGGGGCCACAACTGGACCCGTGGAGACCCACCAGCAGCCCCAAGGCTGAGCACGTAGTTTGGGCAGATGCTGTGACATGGCTGGCCGGTCCAGCATCGCCACAGGGGTGGCAGTGTAGGCTCTCCCCAGCATGGCTTGCTGGTCTTGCATCCATGCCCCATAGGTTGGTAGAAGAAGCTCCTGGTTGGGTTTTGTGGCCAGGATGTCCCACTGCAAAGTCAGTGGGTTTCTCAGAGATTTGCCTCCTGTGCTGGGCTGTGGCTTGTACACAAAGCTGTGTGCTTCAGATACCTTGCACATGGATGGTCTGGGATGTCCTGTTCTTCTGCTCCCAGTGAATTTGGTGCCTGTAGAAGTCGTCAGGCTGACGTGTCTAGAGGATGAACTGCAGTTACAGGGAGCAGGTTCAGGAGGGCAGCCATGCAGTGGTGTTCGTGCTTTGTTGTCTTCCTGTCTGCTTTCTTCTTGTGAGGCTTCCAGAAAGGAGACTAATTAAGGGTAATCTGTTAACTGTGTATGTGCATCATCACCTGGTTCACTTAGTTAGTTAGTGCTAGTTGAGAGGGGCTTGGACAAGCAATAAAAGATGTGTATTCAAGTCCATTACTTATCCTTCCAGTCATCACTCTCAAATCTTTGACCTCTAGCATATTTTTGTCTTTTCACTGCTGTTCCACTACTCACCATCCTTACAAACTTGATTATGGTAACTAGAAATGTTTCTCTAACCTGTATTGTTATGTGTGATTGTGACCAGGCTCACAGAGCTGCAGCTGAACTTGGCTATGACAATGCATGGAGATGAATTTTTAGCTCTGGACTGTTGAGTATTTTTAGCGAGGTGGTGGATTGATTCTTGCAGACACATTTATAAACATACAGCCAGTTACAATAAAAATGAAATTGGTAAGTGCCCAGATGGCTAATATTTCAAATGTGTCACTTGGGTGCATTAGTAAGTAGGAAACAACAGCAAGCAACTTGTTATTTGTGGTGGTTCACTGAAATGTGGAGTCTTCACCCCATGTGTGTATGTGTGGTGTCAATGTGACAAACGCAGGGTCACAAGCCCTGGCAGGGGTAGCAATGGTGATGCTGGTGTTGCCAGCTGGTGCCCTGTGCCTTTCTGCATTCCCTCCTTGCTGGGAGCCAGCACCTCCAGGGACCTTGGGCTCTCGTGCCCCAGAGCCTGCTCACCCGAGCGCAGGGCGGAAATCTGCATCCTTCACAAGTCCCTCAGGGAAGCCTTGGGGTGAGGCTTGGCCCCTGAGTGCAAGATGCTCTGCAGAACTAGCTTCTGCTTGAAGGCAGGTGTCTGCTGGGGCTGCTTTTAAAACCTGACACTGCTCTAAAAGAGAAAGATTAGGAGGCATTAACTTTCCTTGTATTTCTGTAACGTGTTTCCTTGGAACCTTGGACAGTGCTTTGCACATGGTTTCTGTGTCTGATCAGCAACCCCTGCTGCCGACTGTGCAGCAAAGGGCAGGTTTGGAAATCATGCCCTGGCAGGAGCAGCTGAAGGCAGGTGTTAGAATTGACTTTTTGAACAATGCTTTCTGTGCTCTGACTTGTCCCCATTTCCCTAAGATGGATAAAATAGAATGGAAATTGTTTATTTCAAGCCAAAGGTGTAAACACTGAATGTTCTGTAACATCAGGGCCAGATCCTGAGGATTTTACTGGTGAGTAATGCTTTTAATTCTAGTTTCAAAACACAAAAAATCACAATTGACATAATATTATGCAGTGAAATAGCCCACAGACAGGAGGGATTTAATTGCCTTCTCTGCACATAGTGCACAGGGTTTGACCTTTCCAAGGCTCAGTTCTCCAACACCTACAATCACCAGTAGCCAGAGACCCTCTCTCCAGTAGGGTGGGTAAAGCAGTTAAAATTCCTGTCAGAGAGGCCTTTCCAGTATTGTCCCCCTTGTGCCAGTTGAGAATGCATCTGTCTTTCTGGGCTCTTCGTTACTGTCAGACTCTTAATACCAGTTTATATTGTGGCTGGTTTGTCATCTTCCTGGTC